ATGGAGGGCAGGCAGGCGAGACCAGTTCCTTCCCTGAACACAGCCAAGCCTGGAGAGTTAACTTTTCCCTCGACTGGACAGGGAGGGGAAACACTGTCACCCACCGCCGGTCGCGGGCGTCGGGCTTGGAGACCATTGGCCCTTTAAGGAGGGGAGCCCTCTCCGGCAGGCATCCGGCGCCCATGACAGTGGACAGGGTGGGAAATCAGGGTCAGGTCCCGGCCCGCTCCCTTGGCTCGGCCTCTCTGTTCTCCGAGCGTCGCCCCAGCCCTCCCCGCCGCGTCCCAGCCCAGGGAAGGGGGTGCTGCAGAGCGTCCCCCCGCCCCAGCCCATTTAACACATGGAAAGACCAAAGTCTCCAGATGGGTAGGAAGGGCTCGCCTTAGGTCTGTCTCCGGCGTTGCTGGGCAAGGTGCATGGCGCTAACTGGATGGGTGGGGAGGGTTCATTCCCCCCCACCCCAACCCCGCCTTAGGACGGTGCGGGGCTGCCAGGAGGGAGGACAGCACACCCATACCACTTCATAGATGCAGAGTGAGTCTCCTGGGGATGTGGAGTACGTGTGCGTGTCTTTCTCTCCATGTGACTTTAGGTGAGTGGCTTCTCTGTGAACCTCAGTCCCTCCATCTGTTGGGACTGTAATAGGACTTACCCCACATGGGATGGTGGGAACCGATGCGATGGTATACAGGTGCCTGGAAACGCAGCAGTTCAGTATAAGCGATTGTTGTCTCTAATATGCGGAAAAGGGTGGCCACCTCCAGCACTCAGGCTTTGATGGGTGGGCACGTCCATTTAGTCACCCAGCAAGTATCTGTGAGGACCTACTGGGTGCTGGATGGACCCTGCCGTAAAACTCCAGCCGCTACAGGGGTCAGGCTTGATCTCTCCTCCCCAGCTAATCATCAAGTAGTGGCTACCATTTAGTTTACACAGAGTAAGCTGTGTTTACACAGAGTAAGCTGAAGCCTCAGAGATCTTGCCCAAGATCCCAGAGTGAAGTTGCTTGAGGGAAGCTGCCCCACCCACCCCTTTGATTGACAAGTCAAGGCCTCGGTTTGAGCTCTAAGAGAGGGGCCACCTGTCTGGCTGGGATGCTGGCAGGACTGGAAATGGCAGGACTGGCTGGGGATGGGGGCTGCCAGAAGAGCCCCTCTTCCTGGTGTAGGGCCGTTGGGGGTAGCTGAGGTCGGTACAGTATCGATTCTGTCACCACATCCGGGGACTGGGGCTGAGGAAGGAAGTCTGAGGCTGGAGTGAAAACCCAAACCACCACCTGGGGAACTGCATCGAGCCCAGAGGGATGAGCAGGGAGCACACCACGTGGAGCCCACGCAGGCTCCTGTTGGCCTCACCTAAGGGCCTGCTGCCCACCTGCACCCTTTTTCCTGAGGGGCAGATGACTGTCCCAGCAAAACGCTGCCATGTCCCCAGTGTCCAGACAGCGACCTCCATCCTTTCTGGTATGTTCACTGGGGCCTGCTGGGGGACTGGGGACACAGCCCTTTACAACCCAGGAAGAGGGCATTAGTGGCCTGTGGCAGAGGTGCTAGGACAGCTGAGGACGCCTAGCTGGTAGGTGGTGGAAGCCTCCTCCTGGAGACAGGAGCGGCGGTCCCCTCCATCTCATCTGGAGCATGTGGACACCTGTTCCCTCTTTTTAAGGCTGTGGACCCAGTGAAATGCCATGTAAAGCGCTCAGCACAGTAGACATGGACTACTGAGAACAGAAAGGAGGGACTCATCAGGACATGCGCCACGAGAGCTCGGGCACCTGCAGCACCTCCTCCTAGCACGGAGGAGCCTGCGGCCTGCGTCCCAAAGCCATCATTCTCCACTGGCAGGAGCAGCTTTTCCCTCCCTGCTCCTTGTGGGCCTGGGAGGGAAACAGGAAGGGGGTTTATGTCCTCTGGGCACCAGCCCTTTGGCCTCACCACCACCCATCACACATCCCAGGCGGGGCTGAGGCTTCAGCTGAACTGTCATCACAGTATCTGCTCCCCAGGGCTCTGCCCCTGGGGAGGGAGCACTTAGGGACAGAAAGAAAGGGCACAAGGAGATTCGGTCCAGTGCCTCCACTTCTGCTCTCCACCCACACCCCACCCAAGCTCTGGGCCCCTCTCCGTCCCCTGCTGCCCTACCACAAAACCCCAACCCATCATATCCCCTCTCTCCAAACTCCACTCAACCCAGGCAGAGCCGGTCACTCCTCCCCCAAAGTCCCCAGTCCCCTCAACAGATGGCGCCGTCACCAATCTTACTCCAAAGGGTTTATTGAGACAAGTTTTCACATACAAGATGGGGGCAGAGGGGATAGGGGTTATAAACAGGAACCTGGAAGGGGACCGAGAGTGCACGGTAGAACCAAACAAGAGTGAAATAAATAGAGGAAAGAGTGGAGGCAGGGAGGAGACTGACTGAGACCATCACACAGTGATAACGTGGGTGGGGCAGCGCCATGAAAATCCCGTTATTTATACAGATATACAGGGAGTTCAGGGGGACCCAGGGGCCCCCTCCACCCTCCATGCCCCAGGGAGGGGCATAAGAAAGCCATCTCTGCCCATGGGCGACCTCGTGGGGCGCTGGGAGGGCTGCCCTAGGAGTCTTGGGCAATCCCTGGCCTGAAGGCCATGGTTAGTGTCTGGAAAGCAGTGGAGAGGGCCAGAGGGGAGGGGCAGCCAGGCCGGGGCTCAGCTCCGAGGCTTCCGGCTGCCACCCTTTCTCCCAGCACAGCTCCTGCCCAGGTCTGGGAGGATGGGGGATGGGGCAGCAGGAGCTCAAGGGGAGAACCTGGCACCTTCTGGAGTCTTGGAAAAAGTGATCCCTAAAGACACCCAGCCCTGGCTGTGCTGCCCTCTGGAAGGCAGCTCTGATACCAGAAGTGGCTGTCAGGGCACAGGGGGAAACCCCGAGGCCATCCTCAGGGGTGATTCCTGAAAGGGGCCCATCCCCAGGCTAAATGCTTGGGGAAGGCAGCCGTGGGGGAGGGATTCCTGGGGAAAGGGCCGTTAGCACCACCAGGCTCCACGGCAAACAGAGGCCAGGCCTCTGCACCTCCAGTGAGGCTGGGAGTCCCCTGCGGGAGAGAGAAGGGAGAGGAGACTGAGCCGCCGCCTCTAGGGCACCTCTCAGGCCTCAGCCCCTCCCCTGCATGCCCAGGACTTCCCCAGTGATTCTCACAGGACGCCCGACTGGACTGTGGGGCTCAGCACACTCAGGAGTACCAGGCATGGACGTGTAGGGACTCAGGTTGCGGGGTTTCTGCCCTCACCTCAGCCCCACCTGCCCAGCCCCGCACCCTAGCCAGCGTGGCGGCCAGGGCAGGGCCAGGTGGGCATCATACGAAGACCTTGGCCAGGGCGTCGGCGCCGGCACT